ATATATTTAGAGATTTTCTATTTAAACCCCACACTTCTCTTAGTTCACCCCGTGTTCTAAGTTCACTCCAATTTTTAATTTAAATTTTCACAATTTCTAAGAAAACTCCACTATCTTACCAAACTACCCTTAAATACACCTCAAACTGAAAAAATAAGAACTAAAATAGATTTTCTATTTAAACCCACAATTTTCTTTGTTCCTAGCAAAAAAAAAAACACAAACAAATGAAACCCCAAATCAGAAATTTAAGAAAGAAAACAGTTTTACCTTTCTCCAAGAATTGTAACTGGAATTCTAACACTTGGGTATTGTTGAGAGAGAGATAGATAGAGAGAGAGTTTGTAAACAGGAAGTTAGAAGGAGGTTTCTAAAACTTAATATGAAGAGTTGTGGGGTGTGGGGTGTATAGATGTACTAAGGTTAATTATTAAATTGGATGACTTTTTTTGTCTTTTTACACAATAATAAAACTTACATCTTAATGATTTAAGTATTGGGGTGAACAAAGAGAAGTGCGGGGTTTAAATAGAAAATCTCTATATTTATTATGTGATCTTTCTCTTTCATGATGGATATAGTTGATGCTCTCCAAGAAACAACTGGTATCATGGGTGCAAAGCATTTGAAAGTTTAATGCTGATTCTTGCGAAATTGATATAGTTGCCTTGCCTCCTAACCCACCCCAAGTGTGGTGCACATAAGTTTCGTTTGTTTAATTGTGCTCTCCATATCAGCCGCCACCGCCACTGTTGTTGACAAATATGGTGACTACGATGATTTCAAATTTTACACCATATTGAAATGCCCAAACCCAGTTCAATGGCGAACAGTTCAAAATTATAATTGGATTATGGCCACCGAATTCTGACGAGGTCTTTTTTAACGAGTTTCTGATTATAATAATTCAATATATTTACTTCGGTGAGAACCCATGTATGTATACAATCCTAAAGATGACTAATTACATTGCTGAAACATAGCTCTAAATTACAGCATATAAAATAGGAGACTTAGTTGACTAATCATCTAAATTAAGGAGATGAAATAGGCAAAAAAATAATAAACGTAATTGACTTTAACATCTCTAACCTTGAGCACTTTAGTTTTTTAGTTTTTGTATCGTTTGGGACTGCTTCTCTAAGAAGCACTTTTACTTAAAGCGGTCTACTAAAAGCACTTTTATTATAAAGATGTTGAAATTTTCATAAAAAATCGAAGTGCTTCTTGGAAAAGCACTTGAGATTGCTTCTTGGAAAAGCACTTGAGATTGCTTCTTGAAGAAGCACATGACAGGTGCTTCTCCAAAAATCGCTTCTATGGCCCAAAAGCGCTTCTAAACTTTTCTGTCAAACGCTGTCAAAAACGATTTTGGTTGTTAGAAGGCACTTTTAACTGTTCCAGAAGCACTCCCAAACAGACCCAAAATAAAAGAAATTTTAGTTTCCATATATATATATATTATTATGTCGCCTTTTCATGATGGATAGTTGATGCCCCTAAAGAAACATTGAAAGTTTAATGGTGATTCTTGCTAACAAGCCCAAGTATGACGCACATCATTTTTCTTTGTTTAATCGTGCTCTCCATGGCTGCCGCCGCCGCTGCTGACAAATACGGCAACTACTATGATTTCGAATTTTACACCTTATTGATGACTTGGCCTAATACCCACTGCATGCGAATGAAAGACCTTCCTAGACGTAATTGCTATGAGCCCGTCGCACAGAAATTTATCATCAATGATCTATGGCTAAACATTTTATTTTTTCAGTTTTACACCTCTGTCTTAATTTTTGCAGGAGACAACTTGTGTTGTCAAGATGAAAGAGTACTGGCCAAATCCAACAGCGAAGGATTTGACTGAGAATAAAATTTTTTTGGGAAAGACAGTGGAAAGAGCATGGTAAATAAATACACTGATCTGCTTGCTGAAGACTATTTCAACTTAGCATTTAAGTTTTATGAAGACGTTAAAGTGACGAAGATGCTGAGGATGCTGGAATTTCAATTGAGATGGATTCTGATCCTATTGTGATCAAGTGATAGGGAAGAAGACGAAAAGCTTCACAAATATCAAGTGTTATAAGGGAATGTTGTGGGGAGCCCGAATCTGCTTCGGAAAATATGGAATGTTTCGGGATTGTAACATGAGAATTGAGGATATGTTTTTGGGTTGTAAAATGACACAAAATGTATATCACAAAATTTCTCTTCCTGCGATGCCACCTACAATAAAGGCAGAGGTAATACCAAATTGTGCTTTCCAAGTTCTATGCTGTAATAATACTTTATAACTTGCCTCTGTGATTGTAGAAATGTGATGGTGGAGATGCGGATGAAGCTGGTAAAATTCATACTGTAGCTGATTAACCCAAGCAAGCAATGAGCACTAAAGTCTGGTGGTGTGGTGACGAGTACGTTAAAGCTCCAAGAATATGCTTTTTCTTTGGCTTTTATGCTGGTTTTTATGTGTGTATTATGTTGCTCCTTGCTAGTCAGAACTTTAGTCACACAAAGGAGGCCAAGCAGAGTGCCCATGGAGGAAGGTTTTTGTTGTTAGTATAGCCGCGCGGCTATACTTGTTTTCACGCGTGGGCGCCAAGGAGCTAGGCGGGGCCCTTTTATTAGTATAGCCGCGCGGCTATACTTGGGTTTTTTCCCCCCGCCCAGACCCGCCTAGCGCCGCCTAGACCAGCCTAGACCCACCTAGACCCGCCTAGCGCCGCCTAGACCCGCCTAGCTCCACCCAGACCCGCCTAGGTCCTCCCAGACTCTCCCAGCTCCGCCTAGACCAGCCTAGCTCCGCCCAGACCCTCCCAACGCCGCCTAGACCAGCCCTGCAGTGCATAAGTTTGAAAAATGGCTAGGCAGAAGAACAAAAGAAAAGAACCAAACCCAACCTGGCAGCCAGACCCGCCTAGCGCCGCCTAGCGCCGCCTAGACCCGCCTAGCTCCTCCCAGACCCGCCTAGCGCTTCCCAAATAAACCGCCTTCTTGTTCAGCGCTTCAATTAATGGATCCTATCCTATGACATATATTTAATGCCATTTTGTTTTGGTATAATTTTATTTGAATTTTAAAGACAATAATATATAGATGGAAATTCAATGCTTCTTACTTGGTGTGGTTGCTGCAAGCCTGCAACTACGGCCACTTGGGTGCTTTGCCGCTGCTTTGTAAAGAATATTTATTATTCTCTTTATTAGGTTTATGATTATCTTGTTAAGTTGTGGAAGTCCTATTGTTTAGGGACTTGGTTGTTTAGTTGCTAGTTAATAGGAGAGTCCAAGTTGTCATGGAGTCATGGTTAGTGGCTGAATGTCATGGTTTAGGGCTAGAGTCAGGACTCTTTTACTTGGTATGGTATCAGAGGAGGCAAGAAACGACTGATTACAACACCCAGGCCTCCATTCCTATCTGTTGGTCTCTCTCTGTGTGTAAACAAGCTTGGTTTTTGAGACTTTTGTCTTGATCGTTGCTTTAGTTATGGATAGAACAAACAATTAATGGTTTTCAGTTTCACAAATATTGGATTGGATTGGATCCCTGTATTTAAAGCATGTTTAAGGAAGAAGATGGATTACTCAATAGTGGGGTTTAAATAGAAAATATATCCCGTCTAATCGAAAATCTATCTTATGAAGAAAATCTCTCAATATTGAACATGCCTTCATTGGATTGGATCCCTGTATTTAAAGAAAATCTCTCAATAGAAAATCTATCCCACTTCAAATAGTGGAGAAATTATAGAGTAGTACCGTATTACCACATCAGCTAATGATACTCCCATTCAAAATATGTTGTGTGTCTTTATTTTTTAACAACTCAAATTTTATTTTACGACTGGACTTTAACCTAATTTTTACCCTTTAAAATAAAATTAAGAAAATAAACAATGGAAAAAAAAAATAGCCACAGCCCACCCCAACAAGCCTACCCCGCATCGCCGCTCTGGTTTAGGGCTCCCTCTCTTTTATCCTCCTCCCTCCATCTCTCTCTCTCTCTGTCTCTCTCTCTCTCTCTCTCTCTCTGTTGCTGTTCTGCAATTTTCTCAACCTTTTGGTGACTACCCCAAGATCCATGTATATTTTATCATTGATGAAGGTCTCACTAGCATATGTGAAGAAGGTTGGGATGGGAGGTGGGTCTGTAACAAACAGGCTACAAATCGACTAGCATGAAATTGATATGGAAAGGGTTGATTGTTATTGGATCTAATATCTCCATCAGATATTAAGATTCATTGAAAATGATGACGAAGTTTCCTGGTTGCAGCAATTTATTAGGCTATTGGGATTTGGTTCTCTTACTTGTGTTACTAATGACTGTTGATGGCAGTCGGAAGAAGACGACAGAGGGGTGGCGTGCGGGTAGAATTGCTGGGATATTCTCCTTTCTTTTTTATTTTTTCTTAAGTTTTTTATTTTTCTAATTTATTTCAGCGGATAAAAATTAAGTCCAGCTGTAACAAAGAATAATTTGTTTATTTAAAAAATTACATATGGCATATTTTGAGTGGGAGTATCACTAACTGATGTGGTAGTACGGTACTACTCTATAATTTCTCCAAATAGTGGGGTTTAAATAGAAAATCTCTCAATATTTTTTATCATTGAAGGTAGAAGATGGATTACTCATGAAGAAAACTTATCCCGTCTAATCCCTACAAAATGGTAGGATAATAACACCTTATAACTAATCCCTCCCAACATGGAAAGTCATTCACCCCTACCTTCATCTTCTCCTTCAATATACCTTAGATTTAGTGACTTATGAAGTTTTCTTCTTTCATAATCAAAATTAGCAATTTTTTGTTTATTTTCTTTTTAGATGTTCTCAGTGACTAAATAAGTAATTGACTCTTTCTACTCTTTAACTAACTGCTTTAGGGTTCTTTACCTGTGCATTAAGTTCTGGTATCTTGGGACAGGTTTTATTTCGTCTCCTTTAGAATTCTGATAGCTTGTTCTGTCAAGCTGAAAGAGTACTGGTTAGATCCAACAAAAGGATTTGATTGAGACTATAAAATTTTGGAAAAATCAGTGGAAAGACCATGGTAAATTCTGTGATATCTGCTTGCTGAAGACTACTTCAATTTAGCATTCAAGTTTTATGAAGACGTTAATGTGACAAAGATGCTCGACGTTAATATAAAGTGTTATAATGGAATGTTTTGTTTGGGAAGTCTGATTCTGCTTTGAAAAAGATGGAATGTTCCGGGACCGTAACTCAGGATATGTTTCAGAACTGTAAAATGACAATAAATACATATGACAAATTTTCTCTTACGATGCCACCTACAATAAAGGTAAATACCAAATTGTGCTTTCCGAGTTCTATGTTGTAATCACACATTTATAAATTGCGTATGTGATTGTAGAAATGTGATGGTGGAGACGAGGATGATGGTGATAAGACTGCTCCTATAGGTGATTAGCCCAAGCAATGAGCACAAAAGGCTGGTGGTGGTGGTGAGCTAGTTAAAGTTCTAAAAATATTTTTTCTATTTTTTCTATTTTTTTTTTTAATGTTTGTGTTATGTTGATGTTTCCAGGTCTGAACTTGAGTCACACAACAAGGCCAAGCATAGTGTTGAGGTTGATACCTTAATTTTGTGAAGGTTTTGGTGGTGATCGGTTGTGGTTTTATATGTTTAAACCTCAGTTTTTCTATTTTTTCAACTTTGATTAATAATTTACTTTTAAGAACACTACTTTTAACTGTTTCTTTATTGTCAGCCACTTTGATTTACCACTTTTCATTCCAAAATGAATCTCGCGCACCAATTGGGGTCAAATTACTCTAGGTTCACATTGAACTTGTATACTTAATGCCGGAATACTTGCTCTACTGGTCTTGAGCCTTGATTGACATGGCTAATATCTTAATGAAATATTGACCTAACAATAACCCTCATAGCTAGTCATAGTCCAATTTCCTGTAAGCTTCTATAATCTGCCTGTAGTGTACAGAAAGTGCTTGCTCTATGAACCCTTCTTAGTTCTGAACAAAAAAAAAAAAAAAAAAAAAAGAACCCTTCTTAGTTTTATAAGCCGCAGCATTGGAACTTACTTCTTGATTTGATATAAAACGATGACATTGATCTCCATCTTCGCTTTTATGCCGAGGCTGCAAACTCTCTGCACTGCGCTACCATAGAAATGGTTACAAGCCATGATTCTGCCAATGTCTTTAACTTAACATTCAAGGCCAAACATATGTACAATAATTTATGTATGTATATTTTTAAAATCATTA